ACGATGTCCTCCTCGCAGGCGACTTCAACGTCGCACCAGCACCCATCGACGGTTTTCCGAAACTGCGGGTTTGGCCCGTCGAGCATGTTGAGAACCGGACGGATTTCTGGGAGTGGATGTTAGGGGGGATGTCTAATTCCCCGTCTTCTGCTATAAAACCCGCGGATGTTGGAGAGGAAAAGGACAGTGGGGTTGGGGAAGCAGAGTTAGACGACGAGGAGGAGAATGGAAATGGGCGCGAGAGGTTTAGAGGGGTCGATGTGTGGAGGGTTATGAATCCAAATACGAGGAGATATACTTATTTTCCGCGTGAGAGGCCGTGGGGGTCGAGTTGTGATCGTGTGGATTATGTTGTTGTGGGGAGGGAGATGTGGGAGGGGGGACGGGTGGTCGGGTGTGGGGTTTTGGATTGTGAGGAGGAGAGGGGGTTGAGTGATCATGTGCCGGTTTGGGTGGATGTGGATGTTGGAGGGCGAGCAGGTGGTCGTCGAGATGAGGGTTGAGACGGCGGGTGTGCAAGGAAGGGCGGGGATTGGGGAATAGTGAAGGCGTAAGTAAGGCTATGCAGTCAGTTCTCCCACACAATCGCCACAAGCTCGGAACTGATCGTTGCGTTTTTTTCCGGCTCTGGATTGCTTAGTTTATATTGTTCTACAACTCTTAACCCCTTCTATACCCTCTTATCTAATCCCACCCCACCTTCCACATCCACACCCCTACATCTTCCCTTCCACCCCCTCCCCCCTCCTCCTACTCCCCACAAACGCGCCCCTCCCCTCAGCAAAAACCGTCCCCCTTCCATCCTCCACCCACGCCACCGTCTCAACCCACCTCCCAGCCTCCCTTACAATCCTCGCTCTACACAACAGCACCGCAGGCGTCGTAATCGGCTTGTGATACTTTATACTCAACTCCGCAGTCGCACACCCGCTCTTCAGCGAGTAAGACACCAAAATCCCCATCACCTGATCTAACATACTCGCCGTGACGCCCCCGTGCAATCTATCTATGCCCCCGTCTACTGCTTTGCCGAGCGAGATCAGGATGAGGGCTTCGGGGCCATCGGGGTTCGGGATGTGGGTTGGAGATGGAGATGGACGGGAGGGTGGGCCGTTGGAGGTGGGACCGCGGAGCGCGTCACGGGCGATGGCGGCATCGGTGCAAGTGGTGTTTTGCAAGCGCCCCCGCCCGGGACCCGGGCGGTACATGGAGAGGAAGGCGCGGATGGCGTCGTCGGTGAAGAGGGTTTTGGTGAAGAAGGTGTTGGAGACGCCGCCGGGTTGGGGAGGCGGAATCGTGCGTGGTTGGATGTTGGTGATGGTGGGGTCCGAGAGGAGGGCGTTGCACCAGGCGTGTGCGGTGAAGTCTTCGAGGTGCTCGATGGGGTGGGGTGGGGGTGGCATGTTGGCGTTTGCGTGAAGAAGGGTTGGCGCTTGTGAGAGAGATTTGAAAGACGATATCGAGGCGAGCGCAAGTGATTTATGACGGCGGCGTGCTGAGTTGCGATGGGGTTTATGGCGGGTAGTTAAGCCGGTTCGTGGAGAGATGTAGGTAATGGGTGGGTGTAGAGGAGTGTTGGAGCGACATGGCGAGATTAATGAATCTAGAATTAGTTTTCATGGGGCTAGTGTGTGATGTTATGCTTCGGCTTGGATACGAGTCCGTCGTGACGATGTCTAGTTGAGGTTGTTCGACATGTCCGAGGTATTCGTACAAACTGACAGGGGTTAAGCGACTGACTGCATCACTCAACAAGCTACTCCCAAATGTAGTTACAGTCGTCAAGGGTGCTCTTAAAGGAACTCATTAGAGTCTTGAACAAAAGCTATAACTTATCATACTAATCTTATACATTCCTCCTCCCCATCGCCTCCCTCCTCCCCCATATCTACTGCTTAATAACCGGCTCTTCAATCAACTCCTCCCCCTCCAAATAATGCCTACACCAATTAAAAATATACTCATGCCACAACTTACTATTCTCCCGATTCACCACCCAATGTCCCTCATCCGGGAAATGCAAGAAGCGACTCGGCACGCCCCTCGACTGCAGAATATTAAACAGCATGATGCCATCGCTCACCACAACTCTATAATCCAAATCGTTGTGCACGATGAATTGAGGCGTGGTGGAGTTACGGATGTGGTCGAGTGGATCCCAGAGCGCGTAGTTCTCCGGGTTATCCCAGATAGTGCCGTTTTGGTCTTTCTGGATGAACCAGAGTTCTTCGGTTGCGTAGGCGCCGCGTTGGGAGAGCTTGCCGTCGTGAGAGACGATGGCTTTGAATTTGCGGCCGAAGTCGTGGCCGTTGATCCAGTTCATCCTGGATTGTGTGAATACGTGCGAAGTATGCGGGTCAAGAGGGGGAACTCACATGAAAGCGCCATAGCTGGCGCCGGCGGCGATGGCGTTGTCGGTATCGATGTAGGAGATATTCTCCTTCATGTACTCGAACGCCTCTTGTAGATCTTCGTAGGGTGTTCCGGCCCAGTTGTTCGCGATCTTGTCGGTGAACTCCTGGCCGTAACTCGGCGTGCCGGTGAACTGAACAGTCGTCACTATGGCATTCAGTTGGTCCGCCCAGAGCCTCAGGTTCCAGCGCGTGCTCCAGTTGTCGCCCTGGGCAACCTGCGGGCCACCGTGTACGACGAATGCGATTGGGTACTTCTCGGATTCGCTGAAGTTGGTTGGCTTGAACATGAACGTCTGGATGTCGTCGCCGTCTTTGTTGGTGAACCAGAAATAGTCGGTCGAGCCTTGCTCAAGGCCCTCGAGCTCGGCATCGACTTTGTTCGCGCTAAACAGTACCTTCTTGTCCTCGCCGGGCTTCTGGGTGTAGAACTCACGGCTCGTCCAGCCCGAAGCAGATGAGACAAGGACGGAACCATCCTTCAGGACAGTGTAGTCAGAGACGTAGCTGTCTTCGCCGGTGAAGTTGGTGGGCTTGAAGGAGGCCTCGGCATCGTAGGGGATGAGCCAGAGACGGTTCATAGCGTTGAGCTCGGAGGCAACGTAGAGCTTACCCTCTGGACCCCAGGCGAGCGCAGAGGGAGTAGAATCCCAGTCTTCAGCCACGGAGTTGACCTCGCTGTTCAGTCCATCAATGTTGGCAACGTACAGCTTGAAGCGGTCCGACTCGTAGGAGATGCCGTCCTGCTGGCCATAAGCAAGCTTCGTGCCATCGGGGGACCAGCGCGGATAGCCCGAAGCTCCCTGTGCGGTTTCGGGGGCAGTGGTATTCGGTCCGTTAATAGCGACAGGCTCCTCGGATCCGTCGTGGGGTACGAGATAGATGTAGCTAGCGGTGTAGTTCGCTTTGGGCAAATGAGGGGACTTGGTGAGGAAAGCGACGGTTTGACCATCCGGAGAGATGTCGTAGTCTCCCGAATCGCCAAAGGGCTGCACAGGCGTCTCCGGGCGGGTGATGGTATAGTTCATGCCATAGAGAAGGTTCTTCATCTCGCCATCGAAGGAGAGCCCACCCTCTGCGGTACCGTTGCCAGTAGGGTATCCCAACTGCTGAGCAGAAAGCTTGCCGCTGAAGATGGAGTAGCGCTCCTGCTCTATGTAGAAGTCCCAGTGTCGCACAAAGACGTTGTCGTAGAGACCACCAGAGCTGAGCGGCTGACTGGCAAGCTCGGGATTGTATGCAGAGCCATTGTTGAAGTATGCCTTCGCGGTGACAACGAAGTGAATGTCACCAGACTCTGCCCGCTGGGCCTTCAGGCCTTGGAAAGGAGCGTCCAGAGATGCGACAAGCGTCCTAGTCAGGTCAGCCACAGTATGAGTCAATACTGGCGATCTTACGGGTTGAAATCTGTGACGTCCGCAGTGTATAGAGTTACACCGCCTGCCACCTCTTCATTTGTCCCATTGATGTACAGAATACCTGTGATCAGGGTTAAGTTTGGAGCATCTCAGGTCGGGGTCATTCGTACTGGTATCAGTCTCGCCCACCCACACAACCTCCGAGACCTCCGAATCAAAAGGCGCATCCGAAATCTCGCCGCTTGCGACTTCCATAAGGTGCCATGTCGTCGACGCCTTATGCGAAGTCCAATTGTACCTCGTCGACGAGAACAATGCCCACTCCTGCATAAAGTCAGCAATTGCACTTCTCATACCGACGCACAGAAAAGCATACCCCACTAGGATTCACATTCGCAGTGCTCCTCCTTGGAGCCGCTAACATGTCTTCCACATCAAAGGCGCGCACGGCGCCAATCAAGGCACCCGCGGCCACAAAAGCCGTCATGAAACCCATAATGTCGATTCTCTCAGTTACGCGACGAGAAAGGAACAAGAGAAGATCCAAGAGAACGAGAATCGGGACGCATGCAGGTTATTTCAACAAACGACCCAGGTTATTGTATAAGCAGGCACCATTGCCTCATCCCAGCAATCACGCGATGACATAGTCAATTGCTCTCCCACCTGCCTCATTCAAGCAGCTACCGAGCTGTGTCCCCACCGAACCCTGCGTATCGCCGTGCTGCTGCAGCCTGCAAGGAAACCGTGCATGTTCCAGTGAGGGGTTGTCAGCGGTGGCGGGGGGAAAGAGTGGCGTGGGAGGTCAATCCCGATGAAAAGCGGGAGACAGGGTAAGCTTTGATGGGAAGGTGATAGAGTAAGGGCCAGGGAGCTGCTGCTGGGGAGACGGGTAAAGCATGGTGGTTTTCGTGTTTGCTGCAGGGTGATGCAACGGTGAACCAACGGCCATGGGTGGCTAACGGGCCCGCGGGACGCTAGCGGGACGAAAGACGGCTTGTCGAGGTAGCCGAGGAGGCTTGTTTGCCTGTCGCAAAGCTTGGGTCGAGTGCAACGACATGTACATATAATAATAACTCAATTCATTCTACAGATACATTTCTCGGAAGTAATTTTGAAGGTGCAGACTTCTGCAGGAAAAATAATCAGCCTGTCATATCGCTGTTACGCATTTATGTGGACAGGAAATGTCGCATTTAACGTTACCCTACAAAAAAACAAAAAGAGAATGCGACAACGACAGGATTCGAACCTGTGCGACCGAAGCCATATGATATCGGAGATATTCGAGTCATACCCATTAACCACTCTGGCACGTTGTCTTAGCTTTCATCTGATATTTTTTCTGATTTTATAACCTATAAACAAAGAAATACGATTTTGAATCAGACATTGGCTGTACAGGGGCTGGAGTCAACAACGACGCGATTTTACCGATATATTATGCATTAGAGGATCGATTTCGTATCGCGCCCTTCCACAACGACGTAGAGTAGTGAGGGCTTCGGGTAAAGCACGCGGCTGAACGCACAATCATTGTCACTCCAGGGAACATCGAAACGGATTGCAAAGTAAAACATGGATGAATCTATGCAACATGTAGGTATCTCATGTCTCCTCACATCTGGCACATGCACAGTCAAAGCCCCAATTCTTCTTCAAAACCAACATCCTCTTACCCCGACTCAACTTCCGCTCCTCCCCACTCAAATACGTAATGTTAAGCTCTTCGCCCTGGTCGATGGCCTGTCCAGCGCGGAACTCCCATATTCGACCCTCCCGCCTCTTTTCCACATTCGGACCGCAGGAATGGTTGAAGTATGATGCGGCGGGCCAACACCCGTAGCCAAAGAACTCGGAGCCATCATCTTCCAGCGAGCGGATGCCGAAGGAGTTGTGCGAATCGCGTTGAGAGAGCGTGAAGAGGGTCTCCGGCGTCACAAGGGGCATCAGCGGGAGTGGAAGAACTGCGAGCAGGTGGAGATATGTGCGTACGAAGGCTTGTAAGTCGTCGTTGTTGTGGTAGGGGGTTTCGTCCGATGCCAGCGCGAGGAGTCTCGCCTTCTCCCCAGGTTTTTGATACAGCCAGAGGATCCCGGATACACAGAAGCTCATGATATCTGGCGAGATGGGCTGAAGCAACGCTTTTTGGAGTGCCTTCCTATGCTGCTTGGTAACTTGGACACCCTCTGTACTGGTCGCTCCTGAAGGCACATTCGCATCACGCTCTCCTTGTCTCGCCATACGGATGAGGCCCGCTTGCGCGGCGACAGTATCCCAGGCAGCCTTGATCTCCTTCTTCGTTGGACGGGGCAGCCTACTGTCGACCAGCTCAGAATCCTCCTTACTTCTGCCCTTTACCAGCTTTTCCACTGCCGCCCACGCTTGGACTCCGACGGGCCCATGCTCTTCTGTCCACATATCGCGACATTGCGGACTGCAAAAGGCGAACCCGACGATCTTATCACGGATCTGCAGGTCCCGCCCATATTCGTATGCGAAGCATTGTCCGCAGACTTCGCGGCGGTACTCTCGTAGTAACACAGACAGTGTGAGATCGTCTGCGCGATAGAGTAGAGTGCCCTCTGGGATGGAGGTGGTTGCAAAGACAGCTCGGCCGGCATGGGGTGTCTCGCGTATGGAAAAGAGGGGCGATACGGGGGCTCCCGGGGGAACAGCCATTTCGTCACCGGACGCGGGGAGTGCCCGGTATATCGATAAAGGCCGCGAGATGCGCAAAAGAAGCTGATATGCGCTACTGATGATAAGCTCGAGCTGGTCTCTTGTAGAGATCGGAGGCTTACCAATACAGCGGCAACGGTAGTTTGTGTGACTTTCTTATCAAGCGTACGCAAGCAACAGACAACAAAACGGGGTCAGTTTCGTATGTCTCTGATACTCATGCCATTCGTGAAGGATCGTAGAAAGTGCGTCATTGTGAAGGTAGACTGGCAGCTGCAGCGGAGAGAGGGAGGAGCGAATAGCAGAATTCGGTGGAATGCGGCGGTTTGATAGAAGTTGTGCCTGATCGCCAAGCCTGGACCCTCTTTTCGGGACTGTCTTCTAGCGGCCGGCGATAGCACTCTAGCGCCGGAGTTAGGGTGGGGCTCGTGTGATTGATCCTGATGGACAACCTTGGAAGAGTTTGATACAGTCGAGGGTATAACTCTACAAATTGCTGTCGTGCAGTGGTCGATTTGAGACACTCTCCGTACATTGACAACCTCCCGTCACGAACCACATCCTCTACCGGCCAAGCCCAAGGAGGTCGCCAAAGCTACGACTCCCGCAACGCAAACTATGCCCATTGAGGAAGTGAACGTTTTGACCGTTCCGATCACGTGGCAGCACGTTCACATGGACATCCGACAAGTTTCTTGAAAAGTAAAAGCGTATGGCACGGACCAGATAATACTTGACATTTCCGTTGGAACGCTAGGCGGCCGTTCTCATCAGATTGCCAGTTACCCACGTGCGCAGCCCGCACTTCCAACTTGAATGGTTGCAAGCATCTGGGCAGCCACATGCCAAACAAAGAGGTGTTCCAAGGTCAGACTGCTACGAAAGCCAAGCATGACTGCGGATCATGAAAGAAGGAGTACTGGCCTTGGCTCGAGCATGGAACGTCAGTTTATGTTTCAGAACCCAATTTCTATGTATAGGGCAGTGATATTCCTAGGCACACCTGCACTCTCCGGATGATGTCATGCGTACCGGCAGCGGGGCATCATTGGGGGATCCCGGCAGCAGCAGGCCCGCGGAGCATACTGTGTATGCGCAGAAGCGGTGATGAGAGATGGGCTTTCCAGAGGGCTGCCAGGCCATCGCAGACGGAGCGGAAGGGTTGGGCAGAATTGAGGCTGCCATACTGCCCCTGTTGTCGCTTCTTGGTGGTCTTCGCGTCCCAGCCTCGTGCTCTGCCAACTTCCGAGACGCGTGTTTTAGTCTCTGGCATCTGTACAAGCACGGAGAAAGGTCATGTCTGGGCGAGAAACAGAGGGTCTGCGCTGCTCAGCGTGCTTGGAAATGTCTGGAGAGTTGTTTAGGAGCACCCCAAGAGCTATGCGGGGGCACTTCCAAAGGCTGTTAGGCAGCGTACCTCTGCGCCTTTGCAGGTTGCGGACGCCCTAATGTTATGTTATCGTTCTATAGGATTGTTCTCTTTCTACGCTCTTTACACGCTCTTGCTTTAGAGCATGTCTTATCATATACTCAATAGTTGCCTTAGGAGAGGGGATAACTGAGAGAGACGGTAGAAGGATAATCAAGCAAGCGTTAGGAGCTCGTAATTGTGGGGTGCTCCAGAGCATGTTGTGGGGTGCTCTTGAACACCTCCCGAATGGCGCGCCGCGAGTCCCGGTGTGGATTTGTGAGCAAAAGAAGCGCGTGCTGGCGCAGGCGTAGCCCGGCTTGCGGGAGTCTCACGATAGCTGTTCTATAAGCCGGCACCAAGCCCAAAACCCCTCCACCGCGCCCTGCATCTCAACATCATCACCACCGCGACCCAACTCTCGACCCGCCCGCTTCCTCCTCGCACCCGCGACGACCGCCCATCCGAACTCTCGTGCATCACAGACCGCAAACCCGCCAGGGCTTAGCGCTGTAGCACCGCTTCCGCGCTCCAGCAGCGCAGCGTCACCGCCATGGGCGCGTTAGAGGTGCGTGTGGCTCAGTTCCCTGCGCGTCAAGTCTATTAGATGCACCCCGTTACCCTTTCGGCATCGAGCAGCAGCGGGGGACCGGCGAGGGATTGCCTCCACCGGAGTCGGTGATGTCGTGGGCGGTGATCGTCATAGGCACACCTGTGGTCCGTGCACACCACTGCGTCATTGACGGCCGTCGCTCCCAGCCTGCTCCCTTCACTGTTCCGCATGCATGACATCTTTCCTTCTTCTCCCCACCGTCCACATTCCCACACTTGCACGCTGCACTGTCTTGCGAACCATTGTCCTGTTTACACCTCCATTGTCCACCACTCCATTCTACTCCCTCGTCCACGCTCAGCGTCTTCACAATACCCCGCTGCTGGCCTTTTCACCCCACTCGACTTGACCGTATCCGCCTGTACTAAGTCATGGCGAACGCCGTACAGAACTTTAAGAACTTTCTTCGCCATGGGAAGCAGGCACGTCAGAATGCACCGCACGCCGAGCCGACAACAGGCATCTCCGGTGTCCACGCCCAGCACCAACGCGGCCATGCAGCCGAGCAACAACACCACCAGTACGCCATCAGCGACCCCAATGTGCTAGACCACAAGCCTCTACAAGGTGCCCAAGGTGCCGCAGTTGGCGGCGACTTCTCCGCTGCCGCCGTCGACAATCGCAACGTTGCTGCCCAGGCCGGTGATGTCGCTGCCCGTGCTGCAGATGACCAACGGAAGCGGGAACAAGCGAAGCAAAACGCAGCCAAGGTGGATCCGCAAGTTCTGGAACGCATCATAGCAGAAGAGCGCGAGGCCAAGGGCAAGCTACCCCGCTACCCTGGCCTCGAGCGATGGACACTGCTCGAGAAGATGGGCGACGGCGCCTTCAGCAACGTCTATCGCGCCAAAGACAACCAGGGCCAATGGGGCGAGGTGGCCATCAAGGTCGTGAGGAAGTTCGAAATGAACTCAAGCCAAGTTAGTATTCCCCAGTTCCAACACATTCTGCCCCTTTTCGTCCTTCCCCCCGTCTCGCGTCGTGTGGGTGGTGTTTGTGAGGAAGTTGCCAACCAGAGGTGCCGTTATAGGATCATCTTCATCCGGATTTTAAGAAACAGCCAAAGACTGTGGAGGTTAGAACACCCGAGACCCACCTGGCCCAGCCGGGCTCCCCCATATTGTCTCCTTCATTGTGAAAGGACGGCACTGACTTATTCGTCGACAGAGAGCCAATATCCTCAAAGAAGTGCAAATCATGCGTCAACTCGACCACCCTAACATCGTGAAACTCATCGATTTCTCCGAATCGCGGCAATACTACTACATCGTACTGGAGCTGTGTCCAGGAGGCGAGCTGTTCCACCAGATCGTCCGCCTGACGTACTTCAGCGAGGACCTTTCGAGACATGTCATCATTCAAGTGGCCAAGGCCCTGGAGTACCTTCACGAGGAGGCTGGCGTTGTGCATCGGTACGTCCACGCTGCGATGCGCCCGCTCTTGATGCTAACGCCTAACCAGTGACATCAAGCCCGAGAACCTGCTATTCTACCCGATCCCATTCGTGCCCACGCGCAATCCGAAGCCGAAAGGTCCCGAAGACGAAGACAAAGCAGACGAGGGCGAGTTTATCCGGGGCCAGGGTGCAGGCGGCATTGGTACCATCAAGATCGCCGACT